ACAATGCAGAAGAACATGACCATTACCTTCCTTACTTGCTCTCTCTCATTGGCAAGCTTTTGGAGGACGACACTCCCCTGGATGAGGAAGATACATTGGCCACCCTTGCCACCTACATTGGCCACCCTTGCCACCTACATGCGACACGCTTTCCCTCATCTTCCACGATGCAAACTTCCTACCCAGACAATTCAGATGAATGAAGATAACAGTCCAGTGGAACAGGGAGATGACGGTGAGGAGGAGGACCAGCTGTTCAATGACAAGGACCATGTACACTAACTCACAATAAAGAATGTCACATGATTTTTCTTACAAAGTTGTTGCTATCACACAAGAACCAAACATTTTGAGACTTAGGCTCTGGTGTATGAAACATAGCTAGAGAGGTGTAGATTGTATATACCAAGTCTAGGGATGAATAATTGAAAACTCAGGATAAGGCAGGGAATTGATTGTGACAAGTGCCAAAAATGGGATGTAACAAAGTGGGAAATTCTAAATGACTGCAACCTACTGAAAGCAATTCACAACTTGAGGAGGAGTATTTTTGCACACTGGATCTCCCTGCTATTGGTATGAGCTGCATAAAGTCTCTGGGCTAGAAAACTTAATATCTACAAAAGATAGGTAGAAATGTTAAAATGAACATTGCATGATGTTTGTAGAAGCAGATTCCCAGAGTTTTTCTGGAAGTAAACAAGTATCTACAATATTGGTCCTTCTTTTCTGCAAGACAAAAAAATCTTGAAAAGTCCACAATCAAAGGGCATTTTACATAGAGCAGGAAAGGTGTGGGGTCTCAGAGCTTTGTATATATAGGACCCCTGTGTATTTCTTTGGGATAGTGTTACTAGGCATTAGAAGTGCCTTGTGAATTATTTTCAGCCTCAATTCACCAAGAAAAATGTCAAGGATTGGTCCAGGATGATTGCTATATGCAAAATGTACTTTTATTGTGGACTTTACAAGTTGTACCCAGTGCAAAAATCAAATTTCTATCATG